AATATGTGCGGTATGGTGCAGTACGCCATAAGTCGTTACCTTCTTCTTCGACTGAATGAGGAGGTCTTTATAGATGTCAGAACGGAGAAAACGCTGATAACTATCATTCTTCATTAGGCAGAATATGTGGTCCTAAAACCTTCTTTTTAACAGAAACGCAACATGTTACAATTGTGGGTAGGAAACGAACCGCAGCTTCGTCAAAACTCCATCGATTGGGATTTTTCAAATTCTCCTCCGTTATCTCCATTACCTTGAAAGTACCAACTTATTCACATGACAGAAGAAAGACAGTAGAAGTAACGACAGTTTGCACTCTGAACGCGTTCTTACTACGTTTCTGCGGCAGCGTCTGTCAGCATTCTCAGCGACTAAGGAAGTATAGGTATCGATTGCCATACAAAACGCTCGAAAGCTGGATCGATACCTATATTTTCTTGGTCGCTCAAGATGCTGGAAAACGCAGCCACGAAGTATGAACGCACTCTGTGGAGAAACATTTCAATTCTAGTATATTCAGCACCTTGCAATCCACATTAACAGGCGATGTTGCGTTCGAATCAATAAACTCGTTATAGATTTCAGTCACAAGTACAGGAACCATCCTACAGCTGCATTTCCGCAATTTTTGGACCTGGACGAAAACATTCAGAACGGTAGACGCTTTTGAAAAATAAGAAGTTGATATATAACCTAAACGCACCTCCCACCAAAAGCGAAGATTTTCGCCTGAATACTCTTTGTCAAGGAACTTTTGTAAAGTTTCCCTTCCCAGTAAATCGGCAAGCAGTTCCTCAAAGCATTCCTCCCATAACTTCAAACGTCGAGTAGAAATATCGCCAGTTCTGAAGGACAAAACGCTTTGTCGAAAAAAGGTGTAAAGTCGAACTTATATACGAATAAAAGCTGGGTAACCGAAAACCCACATCTTGTCATGCTGCCAAAAATCGACAGTATCGCTGATCCATGGATTAGGTTGGCTTTGAAAAGGATCAGATACAGATCCCAAAGGAGTGAGAAATGGATCAAATACTCGGCGATGTTCGTGGTAGGCTAAGTAGCTGAAAGAGGGAACCCTTTCATTTTGCCACAATTTTAACTACATTAACAATATTCTCGTTTTAATCACAATTGACCAATTTTCTGGCAGCTTCCTTACAATTAACTTACGGAGACCACACGTTGCTTCCTCAGTTTACTAAAGAACATTGTCGCTGGCCGGGGAGGGACATTCTAAACTTTCGCAAGTTTCCTGGGAGTTCAGGTTAGTTAGTGAACAGATATCACTTTGGTGTGACCTGCAACTGTTGTGAAGCTAGAAATGGTAAAAGTGGGCCGCTTTTTTACAAGAATGCACCACATCTTCACGAGGTGGCCTGTACAGACCCTGCTAAGTACATTTGTTGCCCCCACCAAGCCAAATTGCGCCATCACAGTGCATAGGTATGAAAGGAAATACGCGGTAGATGGAAGCAAAGCTGTCACAGCTGTTACTCCCATCGATCAACCCCTCGTCCGTTTCGAGTGACGAAAGTGGTGTACTCTCTGCGAGTGCGGACAACGATGACACATGCACGGAGAGAGGAGGGCGTCTCAGGGGTGTCAACCGGGAAGTCTCTCTTCTCTTTCCTTTTTTCTTCCCCCTTCCTTCTTTTCCTTCCTTCCTTCTCTGATCCCTCCTCCTTTACCTTCTCCCTTCAGCTACTGGTTTGGTAGACGCCTCGATAAAATACCCCTGGACCCTCGCAGCGACTGCAGACATGTGCCCCGCAACCAAAAACTGTAACAACAACTTACTTTTCTACAACTTTGGACGTCCGCAATACATTTTTCGATAACCGATTATTGAGCTGATTAATCTGAAAAAAGAGAGAAGCTAGAATCTGAAAAAAGAGAGAAGCTAGAAACTCAAAACTAAAACAAAAGAGTGAAGCATAGAGTATGTGATGGTCTGTTTGTCAGTCCCGACGACTATGTGATGGAGCACCCTGGCATTTGAGTCAGTGGTTGCAGCAAAGTCATTCACGAAGTCGCCACGACAGCAGTCACCCAGTATCTCGGGGCTTACGTCATGATTGACACTCTTTTTGTACAACTGAAGTTCTACACGTACTTCTAGTTTCAAGGTATCTTGGACTTGTGTACATCTTCTTAAACCGGGCCTCGTATAGTAGTTGTTTCGAAAGGATCCTCCACTTCCACTTGTCGAAGCGCTTGCACTGCAACAGTGGAAATTAGGTAAAGCTCAACTCGAACATCTCGAATTTTATATTCGCAATGAATGCTAAATATGACATTCGGTGCATTCGGAAACTGCGCCCTCAGATGTGCTGAACTACATCCCCTCGGATATGCTGAACTATTAGGTTGTCCGGAAAGTTCTTAGCGTTTTGGGTGTTTAACTTTAAACGATCATAACTTTCTTAACACTCATCGGATTTAATCCAAATAAGCACCATTCGAATCAGCACACTTTTGCCAATGTGACAGCAGTCGAGAAATCCCATCAAAGAAAAAACTGGGTGGTCGAGAATCCACGAAATCACGAAGGTCTTTTTTGCCTGGTCCTGATTGATGAAGTATTTTCCAGCAAGGAAGTTCTGAAAATGTTCTGAAAAGGTGACAGTCGGTTGGT